TACAAAAGACTAGGGGGCAGCTAGGTGGTGCAGTGGAGAGAGGATCGGCCATGGAGTCAGGAGGACCTGAGTTCAAATCTGGCCTCAGACACATAACACTCACTAGCTGTGTGACCCTGAGCAAGTCACTTAACCCCAACTGCCTCACCAAAAAAGAAATACAAAAGACTGAAACTGGAAGAGACCTCAGAACCTTCCTAATCCAAATTGTACATATAATTCTCATTTGAAAGGTAAGGAAAGTGAGGTCTGAAGGAAAGGGGGAGTGACATCGATCTATTTAACATTTAATAAGCACATATCATATAATGCAATATGATATAATATAATAGAATAGGATAGGATATACCATGCCAGATGTTGGGGACTCAAAGACCAAAAAAGGGGGAAAAAAGACACAATCTCTGTTCTAGCTCATTTTCTTCTTAAATTTTTATTTTCAGTTCCAAATTCTCTTCCTCCTGCCACTCTCTCCCCCACACTGAGAAGGCAAGATATACTATACACCTTATATGTATGTATAAATTCATGCAAAACACATTTCCACATTAGCCACGCACAATCCCTGTTCTCAAGAAGCTTCGATTCTATTGGGGGGTATAGGAAGACAGGCAGTCTTAGGAAAGGGGAATGATGTGAGCACTGGAATGGAGGCCAGAAACTAGTATGGTGAAACAAAGAGGAGTCTGTAAGTCAGAGGAGTTGGGTTTGAATTTCACCTCTGCTACTTAATATCAATGTGACTTCAGGTAAGTATCTGAGCCTGCCTCCATTTCCTCATCTGTAAGATGTAAAGATTCGACTAGTTGTTCTCTATCACCTCTTCCAATTCTAAAATGTTTAAATCAGAGCTATCCATGACGCACACCGTCAGAACCATAGATGTTTAAGCTAACTAAATAAAACACAATAAAACAGAGAAGACATCGTATTTTAAAACTAAGTCACTGTGTGGCCTACAGGGATCCTTTGGTACAGATTAACAGCCCCTGTACCTAGTTGAGTTTGCCTTATCCATTTGGAGACCGGAATGGGAGAATACAGGCAATCAGAGAAGACAGGTACCAGCTCCAGACTTGCCCCCAGGATTGCTAGGACGTGATGACTGCCTGAATGGGAGCAGAGAAAAGGACTTAGAGATGACCCACCTGCCTACCCCCACCCCTGGGTTCTAAGGCCTACAGGCAAGTTGTCATAGAACAGCATCTGAGTCAGCGGTCATAGCCCGGCTTGAAGTTTTCTGAAGCTGTTTTTTTTCAATCAGATGTAAAAACACAGGTCTGTCCTGATTGGACCACATTTGGGGGGTTGTGTTTGGTTGTTAGAGACACGATTTGGGAAGAACACTGACAAGGTGGAAGAATATCCAGAGGAGACAAACCACAGTCTCTGAGACCATGCCGTGTGAAGGTCACCACTGGGGCTGTTTGGCCTGGATACGAGATTTGCTAGGGGTACAGTGGTGAAGTAGCATCTGTTTTCTATTTGAAGGACTTTGGAAAAAAGGACTGGACTTGGTCTTCTTGGATTCAGGGGCCAGGACTAAAGCACTGGGTATAAGGACCAGGGAGTTAAAAAGAAATCTTCCTGTCAATTTGCCAAGAATAAGTTTGCGACCCAGGGTACAGGTTTGTTGTGTACTGGTGATCAAGGGGGTTTCCCTCTGCCTCCCTGAGACAGGGGGACCGTTCCTCCGCCCCTCCATCTCCTCTGAGGCTTGACACGGGATTATTCTGTCTGGGCCCCTTGGCGGACAGGCTGGCCAAGATGCTCGGTCTGGATAAAGGAACCACAGCTTATCTATCTGCACCGCTGTCAATGCTGAACAGAAACCAGCCGGGAGTCAGCCCTTCCCCACCCACGTGGGACAAGACAATGGAGAAGACCCACCCTTTGGGTCTGGCACTGATTAACCCAGCCTTGGCTGAGGCAGAGGGGAGCCCTCTGGGCAGCAGCTGGCTTGAACTGAACTATGCTGGCCACTTGTCAGTGTGGAAGTAACTAAGCTAGCCTAGTTTTCACTGAGTGCATGGGTGCCCAAGGTTTTTTAGGTAATTATCTCTTTGGCCCCTGGCTCCTGTTCTAGCCTTCCATTTCTAAACCAAAATTTCTTCTCAGCAATGGCCTCCAAAGAAGCAACTTGCTGGGGTCAAGCAGGCAGTACATTTGGAGTCAAGGGACCAGATGTGCTCCTGACTACCTGTGGTACCTTGGGCAAGCCGCTCAGCTTCTCTGGGCCTCAGTCACCCCATCTGCCAAATGGGGGAGGCTAGAAGAGGTGATCCCCTAAAGTCACTTTCTCTTCCAACTAGAACCATTGAATCCATAGCCAACGCTGCTTTATCCCCAGGAATTACGTTCTACTTTAGGACAATATCTATCATCTCTTTTTTATATGAATAACCCCAGAAAGGACACTGGGATGTGAGTCAGGAGACCTAAGTCTCTGCCTCAGCTCTGCCACTAACTCAATGTGTGAGTAAAATGAGGATGAGTGTATTTGTACTGCCTACCTCACAGCACGGCTGTGAGGACCGTGCTAGATAAACCTTACGGATACAGAGATGTGAATTATCATCTGTGAAATGAGTAGAGAGTACTCTCTGCCTTGCTGACCTCATGAGGGAGGTATGAAGATAAAATAAAAGAAAGGCTGAGAAAGAATCTTACAAAGACTATCTATACATATTATGTATGCATATTATATATAAAACACACACATATAAAGGATAATAATCATTAGTCCTCCTTTCTCTCCAGAGGATTTCTGATCAAGGAGGTAAATGAGGATGATAAGGTAGGAGACAGCCACCATGGTGAGATCATGGGCCAGTCCATCACACAATTGTTATCGCCTGTCCTTCATCTTCAGCCGAGGCAGCATCTTTTAATCCCAGGACATTAAAGCAAAGCAGGCACCTCAAAGTCCCTCCAAGCCATCTTCTTCCAAAGAGCTAATGGCATTAAGCAGACCTGACCTGTATTTACTTCTGGGGAAGCAGGACCACATGGGATGCTGCTGCTGGTTACTCCAAGAGCCAACAGAGCCTTTCAATTCCCAGCTTTTTTGCCCTACGCTACAGACGACTATGATCCTGGGGGTGTTTTCAAGGACTTAATGCTAAGCACATTTTACATGGGAGCCATGCCAAAGTATAACGAAACACAAAAAATTACCAAAAGGAAAAAGATAAAAGCTGTTATAGTGGCCATTCATGGTTTACAGACCTTGGTTAAGCTAAATGAGACAGGAGAATTGGGCTCCCATCTGAGCCCTGACACCAGTTAGCTTTCTGACCTTGAGGGGAGTCCTCTAACTTCCCTGGGCCTCAGTATCCACATCTGTAAAATGAGGTAGTTAGCTTTCACAGCCTATAACATAGCTATGACAAAGGCCTCATGTACCCACTTCGGTGACAGTCCAGGGGGCAGGACAGGACCTCTCCAAGTGCCTGGCACAGGACCTTGCTCACATTAGGTGACTGACAGACACTTATTATTCACTGATCTCCCATGCCTTCTGCTTCACCAAATTAGAGAATGCCAGGTGGGGAAGGGCCCTCAGAGACCATTTGGTCCAACCTCCCTCACTTGACAGAGGAAGAAACTGAGGCTGGAAGGAAGTGACCCTGCCCACACACAGAGCTGGTAAAGGGACATAATGTGTGCCTCTCATCTGGCCCTTATTACAAACTCCCTCGTGTAGCTGGACCATCAGGCTGATAGCCTGGATTCCAAAGGCCCACAGGCAGCCAACCAGGAGGACAAAAACTCAGCAGGGTATCAGTTGTCTTGACAGAAATGGAAGAGACAAGCAAAAGATAGCTGGGGCTGATTTTCAGTGGCTCCGCCCTCCCATTCCATGGGACGCTAATGGACCCAAGTGGATGAACAAACTTATGGCGGGCCAATTGTCTTTTCATGCATGGGTGTATATAGCTAGGCTTCGTCTCTGCAGTTAGGCTGAAAGGTCCTTAAAAATCTTCTATTTCTGTACATTGCCCCTTCTCTTCCCCACCTCCCCAGATTCCCTAGGACACTGCCTCATATGCAGCGCTCAATCAGTGTTTGCTTACTGACCAGCTCAATTCAGGAAAGCTTTTCTATAAACCTCAGCTATTAGCTAATATTGTAAGATGCATATTCTAAGATATATAAATGGAAAAAAGTGGCCAGAATAACTTGGGACATCTCATCAGAGCTGTTAAGGAGTATTTGAAAAGATACACTTTTTTTTTATTAAGAAGTTGTCATTTTGAATGTTCCAACTAGTGAACTGTTATTGATTCTTTTTAAATTTCACATAAGTAAAGGTTTTTAACCTAGAGCCCATGAACTTGTTTTTAATATATTTCTATAGTTACTATTTAATAATAATAATAGTATCTAACATTTTTATAATGCTTTCTACTTGCCAGGCATTGTGCTAAGCTTTTTACAATTATTAATGGTCCTCACAACAACTCTGGGAAGTAGATGCCATTATCATACCCATTTTACAGGAAACTGAGGCAAACAGAGGTTAAGTGACTTGCCCAGGGTCACATATCTAGTAAGTGTCTAAGGGCAGATTGGAACTCAGGTCTCCCTGAATTCAGGTTTGGTGCCACCTCAGTATAACTGGTTTCCTTTGAATCCCAAGTATTTTATTTTATGATTTTTAAAAACATGATTCTGAGAAGGGTTCACCAGAATGTCTGCCAAGAGTGCCCATGACACACTCAAAGGTTAAGGGTAAAGCACCATGCAAGGAGATAGGAGAGATAAGAGATGCCCACCACAATTGGAGAATTTACAGGAGGTTTCATCCCCAGCCAGTCTTTGCTAAGTAAATGATATCTGTTAGTAAGCAGAGAGAATAGAACTCTGAGATGTCTTGCTCCTCCCATTGTAAGGCAGCCCTCTTCCCCTTCCACACTAGCTCCACTGAAGCTGGCTGGTGACCGGTGACAGCTGACAGCGTCACCATCCTGCACCCCAGTAGCGGGCATGGCCGCAGCTGCAGGCTGAACGGAGCTCCAGAGAGGGATGGCTGCCTCAGCCAACACACTGACTCATGGTGCTGTTCATTCCATTCAAATGAGGTTGCTGGCATCTTTCTGATGAAACCCAATCTAAGAACAGATTTCCAGTGAGGTTTCCCCCAAAAAGCAGGTTTGAGTGGCAGAGGGCACAGAGTGGGTGACACCGAGGGCTGCCTCCGAAGCTGCCGGGGGAAAGCACTGAAGTCGTGCTTTACCCCAAGGTTAAGGCAGCAACGGCTTCATCCTTCCCCCACCTCACCCAGGAGGTCCCCTCCTCGCTTCCAGGCGCTCTCACAATGCTCTGGCATGCTCACAAGACTGTGTGGCTCCTCCCTGAAAGACACTCTGGCTCCTTCTGAGCCCTGGGAACAGGGCCGGCCCCGGGCGGATTTGGAAGGTAGGTGACTCGGCTGTGCAGCAGCTCGGCTTCCCCCCACAATGCACCCCACTCCCCGGTGGCTTCTCCTCAAGCCCTAAACTCGAGGCTAGGAAGTGAGCTGGTAACAGTTTAACATGCTGGTTCAGGGGACATTTTAATAGCAAACTCATGAACTCCAAAGAGACCCAAGGAAACAAACTCTAAGGGTGACCGTTTAGGCCCCATCAATCGAAAGGTGGAAATGTGGCTAGTGAGGAAGGAAGGGCCACTCCTCCTGCCCCCACTGGCACCGAGGAGGGGCCATAGAAATGCTTATTCCCTCCCTCCCAAGACAAGTCCTGCAGCTTGGCTCCAGTCCCCTTCCCACTCTCCTTCTTGTTTCCCACTTCCAGGAGACAGAAGAGATGTCATGAATTCCCTGAAGCAAAGCGTCATAGAGTTATTTTATACATCAGAGCTGGAAGGGTCCTTTGAGATCATCTGGCCTTGGGCACCTCACGCTAGACCTCAGTTTTCTCAGCTGTAAAATGACCATATAAGGGGGTAAGTAACAGAGCCTGGATTGGAACTTATATCATCATAGGAGTTCAGATACAAGCCTCTTTTAACCAAACCATGCTGTCTGTCATCCCACCTATCCTACCATGACACCGCTCCTTTCTAGAGAAGAAAAGCATAAACCCAACTTCCGGTTTTCTAGGGGTCAAAGTGGTCAATCCACAAGGTTATTATGAGGATCAAACAGGTTATCTATGTATCTATAAAAGACTTTAAGTGTTATGCAAATATCTATTCTACTCCTCCTCCTCTCTCTCTCCCCTCTCTTCTCACACTCTACCCCTTCTCTCTCTCCCTCCCTCCCTCCTCTCTGTCCTCTCTGTCTCTCTCTGTTTCTCTCTCTCTTTCCCCCTCCTTCTTTCTCTCTCCCCTCCCCTCCCTTCTCATTCTCTCACCCTCTTCCCCTCTTTCATCTCTCTTCTCTCTCTGTATCTCTATCTCTGTCTGTCTGTCTCTCTGTCTCCCTCTGTCTCTGACTCTGTCTCTGTCTATCTGTCTGTCTGTCTGTCTGTCTGTCTCTCTCTCACTTTTCCATGTGTAATCTATAGGTCTGACCACGTCACTCACCTGCTCAATCATCTGTAGTGACTGCTTGGTACCTCTTGAATTAAATACAAACTCATAACATTTAGAGCCCTCCACAGTCTGGCTACAACCTACATTCGCAGCCTTCCCACACACTGCAGTCCAGCCACTGGCCCTATTCCTATTCCTCACACGCCACGTCCACGGCTGTGCCTTTGTACAGGCTTCCCCTCCCTCACCTGAAATGCACTCTCTCTTCATAGTTGCCCCTTAGAATCAACCAAAGAGCATTGATGAAATGTCTGCTGAGTGTTAGTTACTGTGCTAAGTGATGGGAATACAAAGACAGAAGTAAAAACAGTTCTCACCCTCAAAGAGCTTACATTCTAATGGGTGATTACGTGAACATGCACAGGTATACACATGATACATACAAAATGAGAACAAGGAAGCTTGGGAGGAAGGGAATAAGCATTTATTTAGCACCTACTATGTACCAGGCACCATGTTATGCTCTTTTTAATAAATATTATCTAATTTGATCCTCACAACAACCTTGTGAGGTCGATGTTGCTGTTATCCTCATTTTACAGTTGAGGAAATTGAGGCAAATGGAAGTAGAGGGACTTGCCTACAGTCATGCAACTGGTAAGTGTCTGAAGCTATATCTGAACTGAGGTCTTCCTGACTCTAGGCTCAGAGCTCTATCCATTATGCCGCTTGACTGTGTAGCTGAGCAAGATCAGAACAGACTTCCTATAGAAAGGGAAGAAGTGACTCACCTGTTTGTGTCTTCAAGGAAACCAGCGATTCTCATCGATGAAGGGGGGAGGGGAGTAGTGGAGTGGATTTTTGGCATGGGGGATGGCCAGTGGAAAGGGAAGGAGATGGGACATGAAGTATCATGTGTACAGAACAGCAAGCTGGCCAGTATAATTGTATCTCAGAGTTTGTGGAGGACCAGAAGGGCAGGAAGAGTACAGGCTACAAAGAGATCTAACTGCTCAAAAAAATTCTATTTGATCCTGGGGTACTACCATCCAGTAGAGGGTTGTGGTGGTGGTGTGTGTGCGACATGGTCAGCTCTTGAGTTTAGGAAATTCACCTTGGCAGCTATGTGGAAGATGGTTTAGAGTGGAAAGAGGCATGAGGTACGGAAGCCTTATAGATAATTACTATAATAATCCCGGTGAGAGGTGATAAAATCATGACTATCAGAGTGGAGAGAAAGGGATGTATGTGAGAGACGTGGAGACAGAAGTAAGTAAGATTTGGTCACAAGATGTAGGCTGTCTAGAAAAGTGGTGGGTTCCCTCTCCTCAAGGGTATTTAAGCAGGGGATAAATGATACCTGGTAGGATACATTGTGCAGCAGCTAGGTAGTATCATAGTAGATAGAGTGCCAGACCTAGAGTCCAGACGACTCATCTTCATAAGTTCAAACCCAGCCTCAGACACTTACTAGCCATGTGACCCTGGGCAAGTCATTTTACCTTGTTGACCTCAGTTCCTCATCTACAAAATGATCTGGAAAAGGATGTGGCAAGCCACTCCATTATCTTTGCCAACAAAACCTCAAATGAGGTCACAAAGAGTCAGACACGACTGAAACAACAGAACTAGAAAGAGGAGTGCAAAGAGGTAGCTGCAGCATCAAAAGCAAGATTGAGGAGCAGTCCATAAAGGAAAATTCTATAGAGAGGTCAAGAAGAATGAGGATTGAGAAAAGGTCATCAGATTGGGCAATTACAAGACAATTACAATTACACTGGTAACTTCTGAGAGAGTTTTATTTAAGTGATGAGGTTGGAAATCAGTTGTAGAGCACCTAGAAGAGAAGACATGGGGGCACTGAATGTAGATGGCTTTTCCTAGAAGTTTGACTAAGAAAGGGAGGACAGCTATACCAAACAATAGCTAGCAAGGATAGTATGTTCTAGTCAGGTTTTTTTTTAAGGATATAAGACACTTTGGGCATTCTTTTCCTAACGTCTGTCCCTAGTTAATAGTGCTCCCTCAAACTATCCTTATATATTATATGTGTATGTCTTTATAGTATATATTTTGTATACATTTTATATGAGAAGTATTGATGTAGTGGTCAGAGTCAAGAGGACCTGAGTTCCAGTCTTCTGACAGATACTGGCTATGTGACTTTGGCCAAATTACTTATCTTCAAAGGGCTCTTGACAATTCTCTTCTACTCTAAGTTGCAGGAAAGGTGCTAATCTTCAATGGAGAAGGGAGTTTCCTCATCTGGAATTCCCCATAACAGTGAAAATAACACATCTAGTCCAAAAGAAACATTTGAATACATGTATGTGTGTGCATGTAAGTCTCCTCATTCTAATGGGAGATACTTTCAGGAAGGGATTGCTTTCTTTTTTGTCCTTATAGCCTGAGTACCTAATAATGTACCTGGTACATAGCAGGTGCTTAATAAAGGGTTGCTGATTGAGTGATTATTTGATAGGGCTTAGTAGGCTGGGGAAACTGAAGGAGACCTTAGCACCTAGACGTCAAAGCCTGGAGAGACCTTAGAACACTGAATGTCAGAGCCAGAAGGGGCCTTAGAACACGGAACGTCAGAGCCCAGGGGGACTTAACGACATAGAGTGTTAGAGCTGGGAGAGATCTTAGAACAGAGAATATTAAAACCATAAGGGACCATAGAGCATAAAATGTCAGAGCTAGAAAGGCCCTTATACTACAGAATATTAGAGCTCAGAAGAACCTGGGAGAACATCAGTTTCAACATCTTCATTTACAGCTAATAAGATCTTACATTTATATGGTGCTTTAAGATCACAGTGTCCTTTCACATCCATTATTTTCATTTGATCCTCACAACAATCTTATGATCCAAGTAATATTAGCCTCATTTCACAGATAAGGAACAAAGAGAAGACAGAAGTTCTTCAACATCACTCAAAGAGTTCATGGCCGAGGTCTGATGCCCACTTGAGGACTCTGTCCACCACACCATACAGCCTCTATTTTGATTCTACCCCCCAGATGGAGTCAAAAAATTTCAAAGGACTTCGCTTAGAGTGTAAAAGTATTCACTTAGGGTGTAAAATGTTATTCACTACTATCTCCTCCTACAGGGAAATATTTCCAAATATAACCAAAGGAAGAAAAGACTGGCAACTCCATCCTTACAAACAAGAAGTAATGATAAAGATGTGTTAAGCACCTTCTGTATACAGGCCTCTGTGTTACGTACCAGGAAAGATACAATATTCAGTACAGGCACTGTACCTGCCTTAATGGAGTTTACGATCTAGTAGTCTTAAATCTCTGAAGCATCATAAGGAAAGATCAGATCATTTAAATATCCGTGGTTTAACAGCAGAATTCTCCTCTGGGGATGAGGAGTGGGGTGAGGATTGGATTCAATTCTTGGCCAATACAGCATTGCCCAAATCACTGCTTTCTCTTTTCAGAACAGAAGTCTCATAAGGCCGGAACCGTGTGTTATTATTATTATTTTTAAATCTTTGTCTTCCTAGCCTGTACAAAGAAAGTGCTTGAGAACTACTTGCTGAATTCAACTGCAGTGAATCCATTATATTCAAGGGGAAAAAAAAGGTGAGAAAGTGTTAAACTCATCCAGAATCTACAACTTTTCCACAGATACCAAAAGCCAAAGAGAGCACACTTGTGTGAAGTGGAAGGAGGAACGTAAGATGGGGAAAAAGCCAAGGACCAGGTAGTGTACACATTAGGGTCTCTGGAAAGTGTCCAGCCCTCACAAGCCCTCCTGCTGTTCTTGGTGCTGTTTATTTTGGGAGCTTTTGACTTCTTTCGTTTCTTCCCTCCCAAACCTCCCAAATCACCTCCAGATTTGGGACAGGCCTTCATCTGGAAAGTTTGTTCAGTTGCTGGTCTCTCAGCAGATGGCTTGCCACTTTGCCAAAACAAGTCTGGAGCTCCCGCTCAGCTGGGGTGATCCCAGTTTGGGGCTGGGGGTGGGCGGGGTGGAGAGGAAGAAGCAATCTGGTGGTCGGTGATTTTGCAACTCTCCCCTCCGCCCTCATGCCCACTACCAGGGGTCCACGGCTCCTTCCACGATTTCCTACCAGTGCCAACAGTCAGGCCCCAGTGACCTAAAAGAACAGTGCAGAGGAGAGAATATGGAAGCCTCCAAGAAACGTGGAGCTTTGTGTCTGCAGATAGCCGATGTTGCACAAAGCACAGGAAGCAGATGTGTGCATCTGCCCTGACAGCGGAGTGATGACAGGAGAACTCTGGAACAGCTCATGTGTCAGGGGGGTTGGGTTTTTTTTTCCCTTCCTTCTTTCTTTTTTTTTTTTTTTAAGAGGGGAACAGCAGCAGCACCTGTTCTCGGTGCCTGTGGCAATAATACATTGAGCACTTTGCCTGGTGATGTCAGCCATGGGAAAAAATAAAGAAATGAATGAATGAATGAATGAATGAAGTCCTGTCTAGGTGAACAGCTCCAGGGAGGTGGTGTGGTTAAGTGGGCAGAGCTCTGGGCCTGGGGGTGGGAGCCCCAAGTTCAGAGCACTAGCTCTGCTGCATGCCTCCCAGCCTTAGCTTTCTCATCTGTAAAATGGGCCTTATAACATTTACGCTGCTTACCTCAGAGGGTTGTTGGGAGGAAGGTGATTTTTAAATTGTGAAGGAGATTATAAATGGGAGCAGTGAGGCTTGTGGGATAGTGGACTGGACTTGGAGAGAAGGAAGGCTAGATTCAGATCCCACCTCAGAAACTTATTAGCTGTGTGACTCTAGGAAAGTCACTTAGCTTCTCTGTGACTCTATTCAGTTATGTCTGACTCTGTGAACCCATTTGGGGTTTCCTTGGCAAAGATACTGGAATGGTTTGTCATTTCCTTCTCCAGCTCATTTGACAGATGAGGAAACCAAGGCAAATGGGGTTAAATGACTTGTCCAGGGTCACACAGCTAGTCAGTGTCTGAGGCCAGATTTGAACTTATTCATATACAACTACAAACTCAGTTTCTTTATCTGTACAAGATAGGGCTGGGCTAGATAGTCTCTTTCCAAAGTCCCTTCCTATGCTAGAGCGTTGGACTCGGAATCACGAAGACCCAAGTTTGAATCAGGACTTAGATGGCTACTACCTATGTGACCCTGGGCAACTCACTTAATCTCTCTTAGCCTCAGTTTTCCTGTCTGTAAAATGAGACAGCAAGGCAGTACAGTGGATAGAGCACTGGGCCTACTCAGTTCCTCATCTGTAAAATGAGCTGGAGAAGGAAATGGTAACCTGTATCTTTGCCAAGGAAAACCCCAAATGGGTCGCACAAAGCAGGATAGGACTGAACAACAACAATAAAATCGGGATAATAATAGCACATACCTTACAGTGTTGGTCTGAGGATCAGATGAGATGTTAGGTGCTTTGCAAACCTTCAAGTTCTTTACAAATGCTACTGATTATGACTGTTATAATGTTTCAGTTTCTCCAAAAGGATTTTATCACTTGTAAATTCATTTCAGAGAGGATGAGTAACAGAACAGTTTTATTTGCAGCTCCTGAACACTGGAAATGGACCTTCCAGAAGCATCCACATGAGCATTGCCATTTCCAGAACCAGCTTCACTCAATGCAATAACTCGTCATGATCACCAACCAGGACATGGAAGGGCCACTAGCTACACTGGGTGAGGGAGTACATATGGCCAGGGAATCATGGGTCCTCAAAGCAGTCCTGAAGCTAGGAATCTCAGAGTTACGTCTGCTTCTTTCCCCTTCTTTGTCCCCCTATTACAGCTGCCTTTCTTGCTTCAAAAAACCTTGTAGATTCAATTTTCCTCTCCACAAGCCCTCAACATGTCACACCAGGATTACCTCAACAGCCTCACTATTGGTCTCTGCTGGTTGTGTCTTCTTTCAATCCACTACATATGCACAGGCCAGCCAGATTAGTCTTTGGAAAAACTTGCTTTCATTACAAGACCTCTTGCTCAGATTCTGGCTCTGGCTCCCTATTGCCTACCATGTAAAAGGCAAACCCTCTACCTGAAATTGAAGGCTTTTTATAACTTTGCTCTGTCCTACTTACTCCAACCTTCTCTCTGAGAACTCCCCCAACATCTCTTCTGCTCTGGCCAGGTCAGTTTATACACAACCTGCTCCAGCCTGAACCAAATTAAAATGAAATGGGGAAATGTTTAACAAAATAAAAATCTAACAAAACATAAATAATGTTAGTTTGTGGTTTTCTAAAAGCCAGAAGAGAATCTGTTTCTATTTGAGTTCAATACCACTGGTGTACATAAAGATTTTGCAAACCTTAAAATACTACATAGATATTATCATAGTTATAGTACATCTACTTATTTATATATTATAGTTAAATAAATGTATTAAATCTTTATATTAAGATAATATATGGGTAAGATACTATTACAGGATATATTGTCATATATCATATAATAGTATATATTTATATCCACAACAAATATATACTATTTTATATTTATATTTATCATATATTATAGTTATTATTATCATCTCTAAAACATGCCCTGCTCAGTCTTTCCTCTATGCATATGTCCCCCACATCCTCAAGCACCCTTCCCCTTTTCTTTCAAGCATCTCAGTGGCACAGTGGACAGGGTGCTGGGCCTGGCTTCAGGAAGACTTGAGTTCAAATCTCATCCTTACTAGCTGTAACATTGAGCAAATCACTTAACCTCTCTCTGCTTCAGTTTCCTCATCTGTAAAATCAGGATAGTAATAGAACTTCTGTCTCCCAGAGTTGCTGTGAAGGTCAAATGAGATAGTAATTATAAAATGCTTCCTGCAACATAGTAAGTGCTATATGGATGTTAACTTTAGATTGTAAGCTCCTCGAGGGCCAGGATTTTTTTTTTGCTTCTTTTTGTACCTCTGGGCTTAGCATAGTGCCTAGCACAGAGCAGGCACTTAATAAACGTTTATTGAATTAAACTGCACAAGATGAGTTAATACATGTAAAGTTCTCTGCAAATCTGAAAGTTCTATAGAAATGCTAGTTCTTCTTATCCAAAGCTAGACATCCCTCACGGTCCAATTTAGGTTCAGTCTTATCTAGGAAGCCCTCCCCAGAGCTTCATAATAACCCCAGACCGCACCAATCACCCTCTCCCCTAAACTCCCTTAACACTGAATTGTCCTCCAGTTGTTGGAAAGTCATCTCCCTAACTCCCTAACATAAGCCCCTCAAGGTAGGGACCATAACTTAGAAACACAGCCGGGGAAGTAAGGCGCTTAGGCATCATCCTTTCCATTTTACAGATGAGGAAACAAATTCTCAGAGAAGGGCTGATATCATAAATCTAGAGCTGAAAGGGACCTTTGATATCATCTAATTCAACTACCTCTTTTATAGATGAGGAAACTGAGGTCTCCTCACTGACTTGCCTGAGACAACACAGGGCTGGGCTGGGACGAGTCAAGTTCATTTCCCTTCTTCCTGCATCACGATACCTGACTTGAGCATCTCCCTCAAAGCCCCAAACCATCCCCTAAAGTACCATGCTGGGACTATAGCAAGTGCTCAGTATTTGTTGACTGATAAAAAAACTTCAAGAGGGAATTCATGTTTGTCATGGCATCTTGCTTGTGTATGAATCATAAAAGAGCATAATGATTAAGGAGGGAGGAGCTGCAGCCAAGCCTTAGAAATCCTCCACATCCCTAAATGACCTACAAACTGTTGGGTCACCCCAGGATTCGGAGGAGAGCTGGAGGTGGGTGGAGCCTCGAACTGAGTACAAACCCCAGCTTCCTCCGAGTCCTGCCTGAGGGACCAGTTAGGGCCTGTTGGTGGCCCTTCTGAGTCTGTTCTGGCCCGAATTCCAAAAAACCAAGGGCAAGAGTTCACTTTGGTAGTTCCAAAGCTTCCAGGAATTTACAAATTGTGCGATTCACAGTAGCCAATGGGAGAGTTCAACGTCTATCTCATTGAAAACACAATGTCCAAACACGGCTTTGGAGGGAACATGATGGTTTTTAGCAAACCACACAAGTCTCCAAAAGACAACTAGAAACCAGGTTTAGGGTAAGAACAAAGGCACCAAATATCAAAATTGAGAAGGGGTAGTTAAAAAAAACAACTATATTTGCATTATGGGACATCCTATGGCATGCCCATTCAGAGATGTACAGCACATGTGTAACATTCAAGGAAGGACCCCACCTAGATAGACATGCACATCAAAGACTGTTGGAAGCATGTTATTGGCATAGAACCCTTTCACATGGATGGGGAAATTATTTCAAGGCAAAAAACCAAAAACCCAACTTCCACTTAACCAACTCCGCAGCTCAATGCTCCAAGTGTAGATCAGGCCTTTCCTTTAGAGATGGATGATGGCAAGGCCAAAGAGAATTAAGACAAGCTTTAGAGACTTAACAACATTTGTTTAAAACTACGCACTATCATAATTTAATTTCAATGACGGCAGGCACCATTTACCCAACTGAGCAATGTAAGTGGCCCTCCTGGGCTGCTTTCTTTTGAGATAAGAACACGTTCTGTATCCCCTACTTTGCGTCCTACCTCCACCCCAGCCCCAGAGTTCTATCTGATGGCTATGTTTCAGAGACAGCAAATGCTGAGACCTCGCTGTGACCTGCACAACTCTTACCATGTTGCTAGAATGCTCACAAGAGACATGATGCTCTTTCCTTTTAACAGGTTCTAATGGCCACATACCTGACTTCAGATTCCAATACCAACTGTTCTGGGGTCAGACCTAAACTCTTTAACGGGACCACTTTTTGCTCTGGAGCCCCTGGAATTGATTCCCTCTATTTCCTGGCTTCAACAAGTCGATGGTTCTAAAACTTTTCTGACCTAGTGACACCAGGACAACTGTTTTGTCATCTTTTCCCCACAAGAGACAACCAGAGCACTCTGTTCCACCAATCTTAAGCAAAGCTTCCCTGCTCTCTTGAGAGGCAGAGAACACGACCTTTCCCTTCTCCTCCTTTCCCTCCCTCTCCCTCATCATTTTTCCAGAGTCAGGAAGAAAGAGTGAGGAGGACGTGTGAGATAACTGCCTACCTTCTGTGTAGCAGCCGGGGAGGCCCTGACCAGCACTCCCGGGTGGGTCAGAGCTTTGCCAGCAAACACCACGGTGCCACACTCCATGCAAGCCCCGATGATCAGATGCTTGCCATCATCTACAAGCAGACTGTGCCCGGCTCTCAGGGTGTAGAGGAACATGGGCAGCCGGGCCACCCGCACAGCTTTTAATCCAAGGCATCGCTTCTTCTCCTGCTGGCAGAAGAAGCAGACGAAGGTCTCCACTTTGTACTGACGGGACCAGGCGCTGATGGGGTGGTGGGAGCTTCTCCCTTCATGCTGGAGCCACTGTCCTAGCAGGTCATGGTAGCAGAGCACACAGGTGGCCACCAGCCCAGTGGAATCAGCCGGCCTGGCCCGGGGGGCTGGAGGATAGACTGTAAGGAATGGGAAGAAAGGTTCCTTCTCCCCAAAGCGACTTGGAGGGTTCACATTGAGCTGAAACTCCTTCCCAGGCCCCAGCTCAGCCCCACAGATATAGCACACCGACAATGGGCCCCCTTTCACTGAGGGATGTACTGCTAGCCCCCCTGAATCAGTGGCTGAAAACACCTGATGGTATCTCCCCAGGAAACTCTGCACTGAGTTTATGAGCTCCTCATTCCGGCAAGCCCTATACATGGACCAAATGTCTTCCAGCACCCCATAGCACTTCGGGCAGCTGTGGACTTCCCAGTGCCTGTTAAGTCCTTTAGCATTGGGCGGACAAGGCAGGAGATTCACAAAAGGGAAATGCATAGTGTTCTTGGCACTACCGTTGATGATTCTGGTGGGCACTGTCCGGGAATCCCGGGCACAGTCCTCCCCACAGAGGTAGCAGGCCTCCTGCTGAGGGCCAGCAGGGGCTCCCTCTTCCTTCAAAGGCCTCCTCCCTTTGGAAGGCATCCCTGGGTTCAGAGGCACCACATAAAGCCTCTGCAGGACCGGTACATTGGCCAGTTCAAAGCTTTGCCACTGTTGCATGAGGGAGGAGAAGCAGCAGGAGCACACCAGGGTGCTGCCCCCAGGGGTGATAGGCAAGGCCCCAGGGGGTGGGGTATGCAGCCACAGGAAAGGAAAGAAAGGGGCCTGGGAAGTCTTCTCCTGCTTCTGAACATGAATCTGGTGCTGAGAGGCCAGGGTTAGAAGGTTGCCACAGATGTAGCAGCAGGTGTTCTCTGGGCCAGGAGCCCAGGGGTCTCGGGACACTGTATTACTGCTGCTCCCATTCTCCTTGTCGGCCAGGCCACCACCTTTTGGGGCAACCTCCCAGCGACTACAGGGGTTGGGGAAGGTCTGCTTCTTCTGGTCTTCCTCATCGCTGGTGATATTGATCTCACCCTCCTCAGAGGTACAATACCCCCCGTGACTTTCGGGAAGCTGCTTGGGACCTGGGGTTTGGGATGCCCGCCCCTGGCTGGCAGCCAAGAAGCTAATGTTATTCTTCGGACCATCTCCCGGGGGGCCATGGAAAGGTGGTCCCCGCCAGTTGCCTTGAATGCCCCGCAGGACACTGGGGCTGTCTTCGGGGACCCAGTGCCTTGCTGTTCCTTTTTTCTTCCTCCTGGTGCCCATTTTGCGCCCAGGATCGGGTTGCACAGTTGGCCCCTCCACACCCCCTTCTCCAGGGATGGGATTATCTGAGCCAGTATGTGTGGGGGGTACTGCTGAGGGAGGCCACTCTCTGAATCGCCCCATGAGCACCCCTGTCCCGGGTCCGCGGAGGACGCCCTGGGGAGGGGCTGAAGGAGGTTTGAGCAGCTGGGGACACCCGCCCGCTTCCTTAGGCGGGGGCGGGCCGTAGCCTGGGCTGCCCTGGTCCCTGGGGGCCGGGCCTGGGGCGGGCTCTGGCTCTGAGAGGTGGTCTGTGTCCGAGAGGGAAGATAGATCAGAGTCGTGTGCCTCCTCCTGGGGGGGGCGGGCGCCCCTCCTGGCGCCGCCGTCGCCTCCAGCCCCCTCCCCTTCGTCGTCGTCCTCGTCTTCGTCCTCTTCGCCCGGCTCTAGGGCGTAGGAGAGGTTCCACTCCTGGGGGGCCGCTGCGCGGCGGCCCGGAGCGCCCCCGCCCGCCTCGCACTGGTAGGGCCTCTTGAGCCAGTACATGCGCTTCTCCACGGGGGTCCTCGAGCGCTCGAACGCTGCCCACTGCTCGCCCAGGAAGCAGCGGCACACGGCGCACACCAGCACGCAGCCATCCGCAGGGGACACTTCCCGGGCGCCGGGCGCCGGCTCCTGCTGCTGCAGGAAGGGGAAGAAGGGCTGGGCTTGCAGGCTGCCCCCGGGCCCGGCCGCTCCGGCCCCGGCTCCGGCCGCCTCTCCGCGCCCCGGAGCAGGCTGCTTTACCTGCAGCTTCAGCTCCTTGCCGCGGCCGATCCCCCCGCCGCAAATGAAACACGAGAGCGGAGCAGCCGCCGAGCCCCCGCCGCCGCTGCTGGGGGGCTTCTCGGCGCCACCGCCACCGCCGCCGCCGCCGCCGCCTCCAACCCCCGGGGCAGCCGTCCCCAGGCTCTCGCCGCCGGACGCGATGGCTGCCATGAGCCGCTGCTTACGGGAGATCGGGGGCTCCTTCTCCAGCTCGCTCCTCTTGTCCATGGGGCGCTCGGACGTCCGCGGGGGAAGCAGTCCAGGCTTTCCGCACTGAGGCCGGCGCCTGCTCCCGGGCTTTGGGCTCTCTGCGTCCTCGGTGGAGCCGCCTCCATGCACCGAGTGTCCGGGGCGCAGCGTCTTTCCCGGCCGGCGCGCGGGAGGGGGGGGGGTCCCGGAGCGAGAGACGATCCGCTCGCAAAAGTTTGTGTCTCCTTGCTTGTGAGTGTGAGTGTGCGAGTGAGTGTGAGCAGTGTGTTTTCGCTAGGGACGTCTCCCCCCTCCCCCCGCTCCTCCCTCTCCGTTAGGCTGTGATTGGCGCTGCGGGGAAGGAGCTGATTGCTCTCCTGCTCTGGCCCCGGAGATCCTGGGACGCTTTGGCAATAAATATATCTTTAATGGGTTTTAATCCGCCGGCTCGAGCGCTCCCCGCCGCCGGAGAGTCTGCCTCGCCCCCCTTCCCAGAGCCCGCCCGCTCTTTTATTCCGGCGCGGCAGCTAACTTTGTCCATGTGTGCCTTTCGCAAAGTTTGGCTGCGGGCTCAGCGGCAGCGGCAGCGCCATCGCCATCCTCGCCGGGTCACCACTCCGCTTCCTCCAGGGGCGACCGTGGGGTGGCTGCAGCGGCTCCACGAGGTCAGCGCCCGCCCCTCTCTTCCCCTCCGGGCCCCTGCCGGGCAGCCCGAGCCCGCCCTGCTCCCCGCGCGGGAGACTCCCGGCGGCCAGCCCAGATAGAGCGCTCCGGAGATCTGGCAGGCCCCTGGGACGCGCTGCGCGCACTGAAGCTGCCCGAGCCGCAGCCGCAGCGGCAGCATGTGCTCGCCCCGGAGCCTGCCAAATCGTTTGGTCATTTCAGTTAGTTGGTTGGCTGGCGCTGGGGGGGAGGCGGGAGGGGGAGGGGAGAAGGGAAGGAATCCCTCCAGCCAGAAACTCGAGGGGAGCCATACGCACGATACAAGATCCTGGCTCTCTTCTCCACCACCCCCCCCTTATTTTTTTTTTTATCTATTTTGTGTCTAGCCCCGAAGCTTCCCAGAATGATTCATTGGCCCAATTAGGGGCTCCTTCTATCCAGCCCAGCGAAATCTGTCTGAAGGGCCTTCCCCTGGGATCAGCCAAAAATCCATTGCTGGGCAGAGATAGTCTTTCACTAAAGGTCAATGAGGACAGTGAGGAACCAGGTAAAGATGTCCCTTAAGACTAACATTGGACAGCCTTTTCAAAGGGGCCTGCAATACTGTCTCTTTGCCAAGTAACTGTGGCCAAGATTAAGGATGAAATCACTGCATGCTGTTTAAATGCAGCATTTCTGGTGGGTTGTGTTTTTTGTTTTTTGGGATTTTTTTCCTTAATGTACATCTGTTTAAACATTGTAGAACAAGGCCTTGGAAAGATGCTGAGAACACCAAAACTCTGGCCGGCCCTAAGGATTCAGGTGGGGAGGGTTAGGAGAACAACTAGGCCAACCTTTAGTCTACAGATGAGGAAACTGAGTTCCAGAGAGAAGTGATTTGCTTGGTCAAGGTCGTACAGTTAGTGAGCTGCAAAAGCAATTTAGACCCAGGTCCAATGACTCCAAATCTCGTCCTCTTCCCAGCACACTGCAGAATGTTGCATAGGGTCAGAAGGCTGGATGCTCAATGCAGACACACCTTAATAGCTCCAATTTTTTTTTCTTAGTAATTTGTGTAGTGTTTTTAAAGTTTGTATTTTAAAGTATAGTTAAGCTAGGGCTCAGTGGATAGAGTGCTGAGCTTGGAGTCAGGAAGACAGGTGTTCAAATCCAGCTTCAGACACTGATTAAGTGAGTAGCCTCAGTTTCCTCATCTGTAAAATGAGGATAATAATAGCTTCTACCTGCCAGGATTGTTTCGGGATCAAAAGAGATAACATGTAAAGTACCTTGCAAATGTGATTGTTTATTGTGTAAATGTGATGGTTTAAAAAGTGAGTTTACTTGAGTTTCTTTAGCTTGATGAAGGAAAATATCCTTTATGGTTATGTTCACCTTTAAAAGTTTAAATTACAGACTCTGAAGTTCCCTTCCAGCTCTTCTCAGATTCAGCGATTTTAAAATAGTATTGATAGGCTTGTATTCAGCCTAATGTAGTGGGAAGAACGCTGAGCTGGTAGTATGGAGTCTTGGGTTCTAATCCTGGTCTGCTGTGTGAACTTGGACACACTGTCGTCATCATATCCACCACCACAACAATCATCATCATTATCACTAGCATTTAGAGGCAACTAAGTGGCACAAGCTAGAGTACTAGACCCAGGAAGACCTGAGTTCAAATCTGGCCTCAGACACTTACTAGCCTGGTGACCATGGGCAAGTCACTTTACCACTGTCTGCCTAATAATAATAATAATAATAATAATAATAATAACACTTACCTCCCAGGGTTGTTGTGAGGATCAAATAAGATATTTTAAAGTACCATATAAATTTTAGTAATAATAGTAATAGTAGCTACCTAATTTATAGCATTTTAAGGTTTGCAAAGTGCTTGACAAATATTATCTCATTTGCTTCTGGGAGGTAGGTGCTATTATTACCTCCATTTTACAGAAGAAGAAACTGAGGCACATCATTTCCCATTTCCCATTGTCCTCATCTGTGAAATGAAGAGGTTGGACCACGGGCTTCCTAAGTTTCTTCTGTATTTGAGGTTCTGTGATGTGACATCTCTGCTCGTTCCAAGAAATTCTAGATCAAGAGGTTACTCACTGTAATCCAGCAACTACCTGTGAAATCATCAACGAGGGTGATACTTCTTATTTTGAGAACCTACGTGTGCATAGTCCTTTCTCCAACATGGACCAGGAACCCCCTACAGCAAAAGAACCATGATTGTCACCCCTTGTCAACCCAGAGAAGATTCTCACTGACATTAGCTGGATTGGTCCTTGGTTTATACTCCATCATTTGGCCCAAACTCAGCTTTCCAACATGGTAGGATGTGAGAGGACTTAACACTGGAAATTAACACATTTATTAAGCGACAACTGTGTGCCTAGGTCCTGAGGGTACAAAGATGAAAAATGACATCATCATCGACTTCATAGAGCTTATATTCTATTGAAAGGGCTGTATCATGGTGTGATGGGGACAAAGTCCCATCTTGAGAGCTCCAGACAAGTCAAAGAGAGAATCAGGAGTAATATTGTTGGAAAATTTATCTTGATAGGAGAACCTGGGGACAATCCTACTCTGGGAAACCCTGAGAGCTTCAGAACCTGGATAATTCTGAAAATATTTCAAGAAGGAAATTTAGCCCTCCAAAAGTATTCGGGCTAACAAGAATTTTAAGAATGGACTAGGTTTTATTTACTCAACAAATATATGAGAAAGGCTTGCACATGAGTCCATAGACAGTCAAGCACCCCTGCCCTGCCCCCACTTCCCAACAGTCCTCCCAATTTATATTATTACTCCAGAGATTGGGATTCCTGATGTCAACAGTATCTTTACATCTCTTATTAATTCCCTTCTGTCCTCCTGCTGCTAGTAGGACTGTTCAAAGCCTCTTTCTCTGATTTCCTCTATGTCTTCTCTCTATGATCTGTGTGGTTCCTTTCAGTCATAAGCAGTTCCACTCTTGGACACCTAAGAAAGTCCCCTACATATGGGAGGAGGGACTTCTCCTTTCTCCCCTTGGTGTATGCCCACTATAAATATCTGTAGGGACAGAATATGTAAAGGACTATATATAATAGTAAATTAGATTTCTTCTCCCTGACTAGCATAACTTTAAAGACCCCAAAGCCACCTCGAAGCCTTGAGGCATAGGCAGAGGACTTTAGAGGGGAGTGATAACAGTAATAATAGCCAACTCGGGCCTCAGTTGCAACTATAAAATGAGAGGGTGGGGCTAAATGTCCATTAGGGTACTTTCCCAACTCTAAATCTATAATTCTCTGATCTATTTCGCGTTACGGCTTACCTAGACGATTTCATCTGATCTCACAACCACTCCATGTGGTGGAAAATCTTTTATTTTTTTAAACATGAGAAAAATGAGACCCGAGGAGTTTTAAGACACAGCCAGGTGTCAGAGATGGGATTTGAACCAGATTATTGGGACTGCAAATCCTCACCCTCTACCGCAGTACTTCAAGACCCAGGATAAAAGAAAAGTCCTTCTGCCCCTAGGCGCACACACAAAAATGCAGTGTATCAGCAACATTTTCTCCCAATGGAATGTCAGCAAGGGGGATGGGGCTTCCTTTGCTCTTTCAGTGCCTGAAAATAGGAAGAAATGTTCAAGTCGCCTCTCGTGGGGGAGCTGTCTTCACTCTGCACTCACAAAGCACTTTGTTCTCTACCCTCAGTTACTATGTATTATTGCGTATTATAGTTACTTAAGAATTGTAGCTCATCCCCTCTTGGAACTGTGAGCCCCAGAGGTTGCAGCCTACCTCACAGGATTATTATGGAAAGGGAGAGCGTATTTCCACTCGGCTTGTAAAATTTACGAAGTACTTGTTTCCCATCGACCTCAATATTACGTTGGTAGGTGGGCAATGTTCTTGTACCCATTTTTCAGATGAGGGACCTGCAGCTTAAAAATTAACCGATCAACCCATGGTCAGATTAGTTATTGTCAGAGAGTAGAATTTGAATTCAGGTCTCCTGAATCTTCATTTCTCTCGTAACTGTGCCAAATCACTTCTCAGTCCTTAAAGTAATGTGAGCTATTATTGTAATGAAGCCGCAGCCCACAGTTTATCTAAACTTTGTATCTCCTTAATCCCCCAAGGCCCAGGAGCTTAATAAATGGGTGTTGAATTGTATTATTTATCTTAATTTGCCACTTAAGTAGA